ACAAACTAAAATTTGGTCACCAAAAAATAAAATAAATTGTTGCATCATTTTTGGTTCAAATTCAAATTTCTTTTTTAATTTCTGTAATGACCTTCCGTCAACTTATCGCCTGAGATAGTTATCTTCAAATCTTCGTTTTATTTGTTACCACGACAAGTATGCAGAGACTTTTACACTTCTAAAGAAGTACGATTTGGAATTTTAAGACATATTTGGTGTTATGTTTTTTTTTATGTTAACCAAAGTGCGTGACATAAAAAATAATATTTTAAGTGAGGGAAGGGGTCGGAAATTCCAGCGGCAATGGTCGGGATCAAACCCATGACCATCAAAAGAATGCATTGAACAAACACTTTGAAGTTCAATATTTTTTAAAAATTGCTGCGCACTTAGAATTAGAATTTCGAGACCTTCTAGGAGGCCTCTGGCCTCTCCCTGATAGATCAGGGGGAGTCACCCAGCTTAGTGCATAAGCGACTCCGAGGTTGGGCTCTGTTCGGGCGCCATCGACTTCTTTGGTCATTTCGGCGCCCTTACGTTCCCTAAAACTAGTCATTCTCACACTCTCTCATACAATAAATACATACATACTCCTATATACAAACCCAATCACACATGCATATCCTCTGTCTGGAATCCGGGTCGGAGGGTACTCGATATTCCGCTCCGAACCGGTTTACCGGAGCAGCGGTGGAGCCTTGAAATAATATGCTGCACCGCCGCCCAACATACTTCTATTCTACCAGAAACTAAAGCTAAACTTAAACCTATAAAATAAATACCCCTCTATATACAACCCATAATCCCAATATCTGTTAGAAACCTAAAAAGTTTGTCCTTGAATTCGCTCTATAACCCGGCGGTATTCCATTTCGGTCCCTATACGGGGCCAAGCTGCGACACCCCTCCAACACATGCCACACCGTGAGTCTGTCTACTTGACATGCTGGGCACCTAGATCGACTCGCGCCAACCAACAGGTACCCATGAGTCGCACGTGTGTGGCCTATCCGCAGGCGGGTCAGGACAACGCTTTCCCTTCGAGATATCCCCTCCGGGCTCCACCGGTCGACCGTCGGCTTAACGGACACCAACGCGTCAGTCTAGTCGGCCCAACGACGCTTCCACTTGTCTAACATCATATTTTTCGCTATTCTCTTAACGTCGTCAGGCCGAATCGGGGTGGTCACAACATCATGCTGCGCACTTTATTTTTAAATCAGTTTAGCTTTGTCTATGATTCTATAATATAGGGATATACTATACAGGGTACAGAGCGGATTTTTATGCAGTTGCATATTTGTGTGCCACCACATACGACCGAGCAAATCTATTATCTATCCGAATCATGTATTTAGGAAGTTGTTGGTTAAATTTTATAAAACAATTTTTTGCGTATTTTATGAATATCGCATAAAATTGCATATTTGAACAATACCGAATATTTGAAGGATTTTTACGTAAAACCGCATTTATCGCGCAAAATATTTAAAATACTATATTGGTTTTCGGGGGAAGCGTAAAAAAGTTCTGTAAAAAAAAAAAAAAAAAAAAAACAAGTTGACGAAAAGTTGGTTTAATTCGAACAAGACGGGAAGAGAAGATTCTAGAAATACCGACCAAAGACTGTAAAACCCCTTCTTAGGTCTTATTTCAATTCAATATTCTCACAAATTTTAAAAGACCGTACACACTTTTCACGAATTTAGAGAAGAGAGAGAAGTATTAAGTAGAAAGAAACAATTTAGAGAAGTTCTTGTTTATTAACATTAATTGTACTCAATTAGTATAAAATATAGAATGTAATTATGTAAGTGAAAAATATTTTTGTTAAATGTAATAAACTCTACGGGCGTCGGTGGCCGCAACGTTTTAGGCACTCGGCGTTCGTCAATGTAAAGTAAAGGTCTCGGGTTCGAATCCAGCGGCCCTGTATTCCAAACCGACATACTTACAAATGGGTTTATTTTCAAATACTCCTGCACCCCGAGGGTTCAAATAACCTCGTGAAAAAAGTTTTAATGTTTATTTCGTTTTATTGTCTATATTTTTGTTTAAAGTTACTATGATAGTAAAAAAATTGGTTTATTGCATATCTTTGCATATTTTTACTTATTAATACTGCATATTTCAGGGCTTTCAACTGCATATTTTATGTCATATTTTGGCAATTTTTACTGCATAAAAATCCGGTCTCTGTATATAAGCATTTATAAGAAAAAAAAATTGTTAACGTATTCTTCCACCTAGGCCATAGTTAAATTTTATGTCAACTCAATTCAGCTCATGTTCGCCAACAATACCTGCTTTTTCGCAATTTATCATCGATATTTGCATTGAGAATCATCCACCTAATGTTTTGGCAGTCCGGGGTCAGACATCTATCTTATCCGTTCAGCTGTCGAGAGTCGGCTCGAGGGGCAGCCAACAGCTCGATCGTTTCGGCCCTAAACGCGTAAAATTTTAAATCTCAATCCACTCACACTTTCGATTACTCTTGAATACATTCTCTCTTATATACTATCATTCATTCAGTTAGGGTGGTGGAGTACTCGATATTCCTTCATCACGCTTTATATTTTGTATAATTGATCGAATTGAAGGTCGATGAGGGTCTCAATATTCCGCCATCGGCCCTCTCACACTACACTTTCACACAGTAGATACACGCAAAGAAACCCAAGACGAGATATCTATCAGTGCTTTCTACAATAAAACCGCATTGTTTCCTTCAAAAATCGAAACAAAGAACTGAAATATTTGCTGCTGCGCTCGAGCACAATTTTCATATCGGGTCGCATTCCTGTACGTTTTCTTTATGGAGCCAAGGGAACCCTTCAATTAAATGGGACACTGAGCATTCTTTCTCTACATGCCGGACACATACGCGGGCCCAAAAGTAATTTTCTGTGTGAAAAATAATGTAAAATATAACAATATTTATATATGAGTCTTACTTGAAACTTCCCTTATTTGCTTTTGGTATAAATGATGGTTCACAACAGCAGAGTTTATATCAACCCTCGGGGTGCCGATGTATTTGAAAAAAAAGAGCATTTGTAAGTATGTCTGGTTGGAATGCCGGGCCGCGGGATTCGATCCCGGGACCTTTACCTTACAGTGATCAGAATCGTGTCAACGCCTAAACTGTTGCGGCCACCGACGCCCATCTGGTATGTATTTGTATTATGAATCTGTCCTGATATATAAAATTATCCGTTTGCCTATACAATAGAAATGAACCAATTGTGTTTCAAGTTATATTGTTTTTAAACAATTTAACTTAAATGTTTACTTTCAAATTCACCGTTTTTCGTGTTCCGCTTGACCAATTATTATTTTAAATGTTTACCTTCTGAATTTTTTTTTATGAAAGAATGTTTTGTCATATATTTTTTGTATTACAAATACTTTCCAAAAATTATCCAATAACGTGTGTAGTAAATATGGCAAAATTTGTAGGTTTACACGTTACAACATAGTTGGAAAGGATTTTTTGAACTTTTTGAGTTTTTAGTCCACAGATTTTTTGCAACGGTGCAAAAGAATCTCACATCTAGACAAATGGTCAAAAACTGACGTTTTACTACGACTTGTATAAGAGACGATAAATAAACTCATTTTGATATACGGCTTTGGGCTGTGGGATTTGACCAAACTTTTCGACTATCATCGCATCCCGATTTCCCAATTCAAAATATTCCGAAAAATGGTAAACGCTTACACCCAAATCCGTTAGTTTTATACCTAACGTACGGAATTACCTACAATAATCCTCGAAGGAGATTAAAGCTGCAATGGCCTGAGACGTAGCATATAAACCCTATTAGAAGAGAAAAAAATGGGAAAAAGGAGGGAAAATTCGAAATGTTGTAGATGGGGAGTTGGTATCGAGTGGACCGAAGTCGCGATAGCTCAAGTGGTAGAGCAGCAGCGTATTGAGCCGAAGATCGTGGGGTCGAACCCAACCAAAACCTTACATAAAAAGATTAATTAATTGAAAGAAGTAATTTGGCCAATAGACCACGAAATATAATGGACTTATTAGAATTGTCAACACTGGGTAATTCTTCGCACCCTAGTGCCAACTTATTTTATTTTATTTTAAATTGGAACATATGTAGTAGAGATAAAAGAAGAAGTTTTATTAAACTCTAAACAAATTTGACTTGCAAATGAAAAGCTAAAGAATATGAATACAACAAAAAATATTCCGTTTCTTGATAAAAATCAGTCATAATTAAATCCTCTAATTAAACAATACTGTAATTCCACGAATTTTTGCAAGATTTAATTAGGCAAAGTAGAGAAAAAAGAAGAAGTTTTATTAAACTCTAAACAAATTTGACTTGTAAATGAAAAGCTAAAGAATGTGAATACAACAAAAAATGTTCCGTTTCTTGTTCGAATCAGTCATAATTAAATCCTCTAATTAAACAATACTGTAATTCCACGAATTTTTGCAAGATTTAATTAGGCAATTGTTGTTTCCATTTCCTAATTCTATGTGCATGAATACGTTCATGCTAAGTATACTTTAACTTTTATTGAAATTTGTACCTAACAAAAAATTATTTTAGAATTTCATTTGATGGATTTAAATGGAACAAAATACAAGTTGCTTCTTCCTTGTAGTTACATAAAGATGATTCTTTTAAAACACAATAGATTCTATAGAATGTATAAAATAGATATTATACGTATATTATATTATGAAACGGAGCTTAGTTTTGGACAACACTTGTGCTTGTATTATGAATCTGTTCTGTTTCATATAAAAATATCCGTTTTGTTGCCCTCAATGATATTCCGTGGAAGATGTGTATTTCAAAGTTCCGTCCTTATGGACCAATGTCGGTGCCATATTGGTCTAATCGGTCCATTCCGGCCCGATGCTTTGACAGAATTAGTTGTGCAGAATTGATTCGTAATTTATCACGGAAAACGAACTGACTTGAATAAATAATTTAGATAATAATTTTCAAATGAAGAGTACTTACAGACATGGCACTGGAGACGATTTGCATTTATCTTCTTCCTGAAACAATAAAATTCAATTTACTTATTTCAAATGTGTGCGATATTTAGACCAATTTTATTGGATTAAAAAATTACAATACTGTCTCGTTATAACCTTTTATCACAAAGGAAGAAAGATTTTTATTTTAGTTAAATTTATTATAGACGTCACATTATTATTTACTTACAATTAATTAATCTTTTATGTAAAGTTCGGTTCAGCCGAAGGTCATGGGTTCGAATCCCGCTCGGGACACTAACTTTTTCATTTCAACCAAAACCTTCCATAAATGATTAATTAATTGAAAGTAGTAATATGGTAAATAGACCACTAAATGTAATGGAATTATTATTTACTTAAAAAATAAATCTAAATATCAATGTGTGATGATTAGTGACCGTTAATCGATAATTATTTAGAAATCGTGAGATGCGGTCTGGTGTGGTGTACGTTTCAGAAAACCATTTTCTTTATCGTGCCAACGTTTCGATTTTTATTGAGACCATCTTCAGGGCTCAGTGTTTGTCTTCTGTGTAATAGTGCCATTCTTGCGTGTCGTGTTGAGAGTGCCATGATGTTATGATCTCAATAAAGATCGAAACGTTGGCACGATAAAGAAAATGTTTTTCTGATACCTACATCACACCAGACCGCATCTCACGATTTCTAATTAATTACTAAATATCAATGACTTTACAATATTTATTATGCTTAACTAAATTTTGATAATTTACTACATTTATGGTACAAATTATGCAGAATTATGCCTGCACTCCAATAGTAAAACTTGTATAGAGAACAAACTAATTATCGAAACAATAGGTTATGAGAGGTTTCGCACGATAACCAGCTTTTAAACAAGGGAGTTTGTCAATTTTTTTAATTATCAAAAAATAATTTTTTTAAATTACATTTATTTGATATTGTATAAACATGTACAAATATTGTATTAAGTAAATATTTTAATATATGCTGAATTTGTCACTTAGTCTCTTGATGAAGGATCCTTGAAGGAGAAGTGACTTCATCTTCATTCAATGAGACGGTCTCGAGGCCACTTTCACTTCAATCGTCTTGGAGGATTTTCGGGTAGAGTTGGAAATGATAACTGCAGAACTAATAGATTATTGTGTATGTTCAGTGATTGAAGAAAATGTTTATAGTAGGTTAATGTTTACAGGTTTGAGGTATTGTAGAAACGAGATGTTAAAGTCATTGTAAATAGTATGATTTGAAACCTAAACAGGAGCATTAACAATTTGACGGAGAATTTGGTCTCAATTACTTGTAAAAATTGATGTACCATCAGAGAATGCAATCGATGATCATCAACAAAAGTATGGGTTGAAATGTGAAAACATTTGACGGAATATCTGCAGTGTATATTGAAAACAGAAATAGACCAAGTATGCTTCACAGAGGTACTCCCGCTCTAAAGGTAGCCCATACAAGAGCGGGATTTCTTCAAGGTTCGGGCTAAACAGTACAAGCGTTCAGAAATTCCTCAACGTGTATGGCGGCGTTCTACAGGTAGTGACATGCGTTACCAATCAATATGAGTAAAGTATCGATTATTTTCTTTCGATATCGGGTACTTTTGGTGACGAATATTGTCATTTGATACTGTATCGAGTACTTTTTGTAGTATAGGTAAAAACGCTCAAATAGATTTATCATCGAGTGTACAAGTAATATTGAATTGTTATTTTCCGTTCGAAAACTTTCATCAAACTGGTGGTTGATTAGTTACTGTTAGGAGCGCCTACAAGCGGCATGTGTCAACAAAGTTAATCGAAATTTTGAATTGGTGGTTGGTAACTCTGCTGATAATTCTGGTAACTCATAATTTTTTCCCGCGTCGCACCTCGCACTTTTAATTTCAGTAACTTTTTATAAAATGTTTTTATCTTCAAGTGCCTAAAAACTATTCGCCTTCCTTCTCATAGGTAGATACCTAATCATGTCTCCTCACAAAAGAAAGGCATGAGGTTATTTTATTAAGAAAACTGAATCGTCTTGTAAACTGTGCGGGAATACGTCTAATCTTTTCAAACATTTGAAAAGAAAACACCCGTTGATCAAGTTTCTCAAAACTCGATAACGATAAAATTGAAATATCAATTTTTTGAAATTTGTTGACACCTTTTCATTGTTCTTCCCTACGTACCAACTGTAAAAATACTTAAAAATATGAATTTTTGTGTGTTTATTTTAACGCATGAGCGTATTTTACCACAAGTCTATAGTGAGTAAGTTCATTATTTATGAATAAACGACAAAGTACTCATATGAGTAAGTACTCATTAGTACGAATAATTTCTGTCGATACTTGTGTAATATCGAATATGTCTTTCGATAACAGTATGGCGTACTGGTATCGAATATTTCCTGGTATATATTTCCTGGTCCTACAGGCCGCGGTGGGAGGGAAATCCCGAAAAAAATTATTTTCCCGCCTTGAGGCCAAAACCTGGAGAACAACCAACAACCAGACAAAAAAGGAACTAGGTCTTGATTTCCTTGAGGAAAATACTCTTCGCCTGTGATCGTGGGTCCGGTAGAGGAAATCCCCAAGAAAATCCCGAATTGAGGATTTCCTTTACTTGTTTGCCTGATGTGTTGCGTACATGCGTAAAATTCAGTCGCCTGATGGACTCGGCAAAATGTCAGATATGATCTCGGAATGAGATAGTCGCATAGTACGCATAAGGGCGGATGTATTTTAGTTTTATTTTACTTTAGTAGCTGCCAGACTCGAACCAAGGCCTGTTTTAATCAAAAAAGACAACCAAGCGATACTGTTTTTGTTCAAGGGAAGATGCGATAATTATTGCCAGCCACACGATGAAGCTGTTGAGTTGTCGGGTGAAATGAGTCGATTCCAAAATGATAACCGAGAATAATATTAGAATTTTCATAAAATTAATGCGAAAAAATATTAACATTATCATATAATAATATTAATATGATATATGTCTTAAACTTCTTAAGGATTAATTGGCGAATACGAACTCAATTATCCAAATGTCGTTGTAAAAATCATAATTAAGTAATAAGATAGCCATGCTCTTCATTCTTTATTTTATGCATTAGTTAATTACATAGTAGTAATTAGTTAGCGGGTGTTCAGCGGTATTCAAATCTCTTTCTAGGTTTTTAAAGGTTTTTAAAGAAAACATTGAATATATGAAATTTGCAGTCAACATTCAATTTTCACATTATGTGAGAAGGCGTTTATTACGAGAACGACAACATGCATGCTGGTTCTCGAGAGACATTCACCGCTTGAATTAAAACGTTCTCTGATAATTTCTAGCTTTAAGGGCCTTTCAACCATGGCAGTAAAGTGAACTCCAAATTACCACTTTCAGTGGCTTTAGCTCTCGTGTTCGTCTAATCGAGTGAAAGACAAGAAACTCCCATCTCTCAGTTTTCTTATTTCTTAATAAAAACTTTCCGGCATAAAAGAACTAAATTAGTGGCGGTGCTCAAAAGTTAGCTCAAATACAAGAATATTTTGGATGGGTTTCACTCTCTATCATGGCCCCAGGTGGACGGCAAACTTTGCCGGCCACGACGGAAAAGCTCCCAAACGGCTTTAGATTTTTATTACCAAAACTAATTTTCGTAAAGTTCGCGCAGCCGGCGGAAAAATTGTTCAAGGGATAACACCGTGGGGATATACCATGAAAGAAGCCACTTATTTCGTTCCAAAACCGTCGTAATAATTTTACTTGAACTTCCAAAACTTCTATTTACTAAATAAAATTATTGTTGGAAATGTGTGGTGTTTAGAGACCGTTAGTTAATGATTATTTGGAAAACCCAGACGGCCGTCGATGACCTCAGCTGTCTGTCGGCCCATCTATGTATAAAAACATAATTATTATTGATAATATTCCTTATGGTGAGGGAGTGGCCACCTTCTGGTTGTTACCCCCTCATTGCAGCATATACACGGCAGAGCTGTATGCGATTTGGCACGCTCTCTAGACGATGAGGACCGGGGATGGCCTTCCTCGTATGTACCGACTATACGCGACAGGTTCTCTGTGGGCCCTCTCGTCGTGCTCTTGTTAGAGAAATACGCGGAGCTGGAGTCTCTCAAAAAACGGTGGTTGTTGTCTGGATTCCCAGACATGTCGACCTGGAGGGTAACGAACGTGCGGACGAGTCTGCGAAAGCCGGTACATCCCACCCTCCGGATCGGACCATCGCGATCAGGCTTCCGACGCTAAACACGCAGTTAAAAATATGATAAAAGAAATATGGCAGCGTCAGTGGGCGGGGTCTTCGGAGAGGCTCTTGCGAAAAGAACACGACCGGTAGATGGCGCTCGGAGAACCTGAGCAGGAGACGAGGGATCGTCCTCACCCGAATGAGGATTGGGCATGCGCGGTTGACACACGGGCACCTGCTTTTAGGCAAAAGCCCGCGCAGGTGCCCCTTATGCAGAGATGGTTGTTCGACTTGTTATGCCATGGCTCCATACAGAGAGAGTGTAGGCATGCCGCCGGATTTGTAGTTCTCCGACACGGTAGGGAGTATCAGGACCCCTTGTTCCGCCTTTTGGGGGAATTGGGAATTTCTTATTGTATATAGAAGTAAAATTATGTGTTTTGTGTTTCTGTGTTTTGTATGAGTGAATGTATTTATCGGTGTGAATAGGAAGGGGCTGATGGCGAAGCTCCATCGCCTCTCAGGCTGTGTGTATGAATTGGGCTGGTGGCGGAAATTTTATAAAAATACCCCATCGACCCCAATTTAGATTAGTTTATTATTATTCAGAAATCGTGAGATGCGGTCTGATTTATTATAGAGTTTATTATAGAAAACAGGTAATTGGAGGAATATCGAGTACTCCATTTAACAGAATGAGTGAGATCAATGTATATAGGTACGAATGTATTTATTGGTATGATTGGGTATCGAGTGTGTAATGGTATTATGTTAGTGCTTCGGGGCTAAAATGACCAAACTGTCGGATGCACCTGTCAAAAAAAAAATCCATATGAATC